AACCACTCTTCTCATTTCGTGAAACCTTTTTAATTTAGAATCTTTTGAATATTTTCTGTAAGGAGTTGATGCGATCTTCATATACTGTACTTTATAACAATTTAGGATGTCTCTCTTGCACTGTAGAAAATTCCTCTGAGTGAATGCATATGTGGTTGTGAGTGAATTTACTGATTGAAATTTTTGAGTGAATTCTCAACTCAAATTAGATATTTCATCAAGTTCTCATATCAATGAGAATGTTTATAACAAATTTGATCGAATCGGTTCATGAACTACTATTTTACACAGTCAAGTAAGCTGAAATTTCAACTCAATCGGGCGTGGACCGAAATTGACTCATTATTGCGTGGACCTTGAGTGAAATTTCACTCAATTTTTTTTCAGTGTGATTCTGATACAAAATCATATCATACCTTACGAGAACTTAAAATGAACAGTTCTTGAGCTATTCTAGTTTTTTCTAGAAAAAGTGACGAATGCAGCCTATCGAACATATGTCATTTTTATATTATTAATTATAAATTTTAGTGATATGCACAGAGCAAATCATGGATATAGACGGTTGAACGGATGACTCACCATGTAACCACAACCACTGAATAATTCACAGAATGTTCAGAAAAGAAGGTCCGAAAAGCGATAGTGAAACATTGAGAATATCAATGATTTAAAATGTGAACTCCGCAGAATTCCGGAGATATATTGTTTAATGTCAGTACAATCAATTTTTCGAAAGAATATACAGTGTTGGTAGCTTCATCAAGCCCTTGGAAACTCGATAACGTTGATTTTAGTTTCTAGAAAATGATCAGATTCTCAAATTGTTATATATGAGTCAATTCAAATTGTTTTTTTTATGTTCTGGTTCCCACGGAAAGAACCAAGATGAATAATATTGATATTTTAGAAGAGCATCGTCCATGAAATTATCTATAAAATAGAGCCAGATCGCCAACTTTTCTACGGTGTTTCAGAGAAGTGAGTGAGTTTGTGAGCGAGGCTTCACTCACGAGACGATTTGCCCTTTTTTGGAAACCAACAGTTTCAGGGTATGTTTGGGTGCTTCACTAAAAATATAAGAACAGTATTATTCCAGGACAGGTCGAATCTGTGCCTTATAGACCATAAGCAGCTGTCTGGAAGTGAAATAGCTCCTGGCCCGAAACAGAAAACCAAGTTTTTGGGATGCACTTTTAGCAATTGATCCCACGTGATTTTCCCAAGAAAGGTTATTGCTGATAGTAATACCAAGCATCGAAATGGAGGTCTTCAAAGATATGGTTACTCCTGACAAGCTTATGTTGGGCACATTGAGATCGGCTTTTCTATAGAAAAGGTATGCTTGTGTTTTTGCATTGAAATCTACCACGTTATTGGATCCCCATTTGCGAATTGTTGCCAAGTCCATATTTATGTTGTCAACATTTCTTCCTAGTTCGTTTCTGATTTGCCTGGCTGGTATTGGAGCCCTGATGGACGAGAAGGCGGTATAGAGAGTACTATCATCCGCGAAGCTGTGTACTGGACATGAAATTGCTTCCAACAAATCGTTGATATGGAGTAGAAATAGTGTTTGTGCGTGAGTTGATCCTTGCGGAACACCAGCATTTATGATAAGAGAGTCAGATGAAACTCCGTCGACCACTACATGGAGAGACCTGTTTGAGAGAAAACGAGAAAGCTAGCTAGCAGAGAACATAGCTGGGGAGGCAAGCCATAAGATGGAAGCTTGGCGAGGAGTCAGTGGTGCCAGACTCGATCGATAGCTACGGCTATGAGGTTTCACCATATTTTTCAATAGACTGCTGCCATATATGTGAGACGTAAGCGAGCAGGTCATCAGTTGTTCTCTGCATATTGCCAATCGTTGATAATACCTGAATGTTCCAGGTATTTCATGAGCTCGATGTTGATAGCTTCCTCCATGATCTTTGAAATAATAGATAGCAGTGCGATCTGAGGTGCGATCGATCTGTAGTTACTAGGTTAGTAACCATTCACCAATAATGACATTACGCTAGCATCGCCATGCCAAAATCGCCCACCAATGAATGAAGCTTTACCGTCTCTAGTATTTCGTATCTCCTTCTGTTCTGTAATTGCAGCAGCCATGGAAAACTGAGCAAACAAGTTCATATCGTTAGTATAATGACATCTATACTGCAACCAATTTCCTGTTGATTTCTGTCTCCACTAGCGCAAGCAGAGCCCGATAATTTGCTATATCATCTGAGCGAGTAACTTTGGTTATTCCAGCACTGTCAGTAATAGAAAAAACCTTGAATATCGCGACACTTATTCACATCGTTCGGCCGTCAACTCTTGTTATGTTATAGGCCGGCAATCCGGTAGAGTACGTGACGCCAGACTCGATGTCGGCGGCGACAATAGGAATAAAGAGAGCCGCAAGGATCGCGCAAAGGTCCACTGACCGCACCGCTTAATACACGGAATATGTTATTAGTGGTCTCATGTCGCAATAAATGGCGTTTTGTGTAGGGCCTAATTGGACTATTTGCCGCTTTCTTTTAATTCGCTCCCGGCTGGGAATGCGTCTGGAGGTGTTCAAACACATTGCAGGAATCCCGGGGCCCTAATTAGAGCTGCAAGTGTGGCACATTCCGCGGCTAAGTGTCTCGTTAAACAGCTCGGACCATCGGGACAGGCTATGATGATAAATTTCGTCATAAATGGTATTGATATCCCTTGAGAAGTGATACGAATATCGACGGCGGCATTCTATCAAGGAGAACGAATCCCAGAGACCATAAGGTGTTTTCAAACAATTCAGAATTGGAAATTGGATATTTTTTCAATATTTCTTCAAACAAGAAAAGAAAGTCCCAAAATTCTTAGGAATTACCATCTCACCATCCAGAATAATCTACAGATAGTATTTATATATTATCCATTTTTCGTCCGGCGTGATTAAAATTTCAACTCATTATCCAGAAAACTCGAGAAAACTCCTTCGGATCCTTGCATTCTCTCATTTAGGGAAACTACGCCGAATACCATCAGGAGATCATGATATTAGAAATAAAGAATAATTGTGATTGCGTTTTTTTAATTGGGTGCAGTACATTGAAAGAGATGAGCCACAAATCAATTAACTCTCATTATGAAAACACAAACTATCATAATTTACTTCGAATCCATTGTAAAATAAATACCTATGACGTATTTTATAGGGTATAGATCAGATGATGAATACAATAATTAAGGAACCCATGACCTAATAGATATCACTGTCTTTTTGCTCAATTTTTCAAAGCTTGAGTGAGTAGTTCAGGAAATAATTGACAATTGAAGTTTCCCTTATGTTAAAGATCAACATTGTATCTTCACTTCCATAACTGGATCTGCTGGTTGATTTCTACATTTTAGATATACTATATGTACTTTTGGAATTATATGGATATTCTCAACACTTCATTCAACAAACAGTGTTTTTTGTATATATAGTTGTTATCAATTAACCAACTGTTAACATCATAAAATAAAAAGGAGTAAATAATCATACATGATATTTTAATGGTGCCTTGAAATCTTGCTGAAAGTAATTCAGACACACAAACACTTGATGTCGTCTGATTTCATGATTTGGGGTAGCAAAACCCTGGTGTAATCACAAAACAAGGAGAATAAATGCCGAATCCTGCTCCCGTATTAATTCCGTTCCGCCCTGTCGTTCGACTTCTCGTTTGATCCCAATCTCACACGTCCTCCTTGCTCTCACCGAGATAATCCGGTCATAAAAGCGGAATTGACTCAGAAGAACATCCCTACCATCAAACAGTGATCCCGGAATACGGCAATTCTGCACAATTCCAACCGCCTTCCTTCCGGTCAGGAGCGAAGCGAACGCAACGTCAGCATTGATATCCTTCGAGATCTATCAAGATCTAGAAGTAGATAACTCGGACATGAAAACAATCACTTGATAATAATCGGAAGGTTGTGAAATTTTTATAAGCCTTAATTAGGCGTACCTTCACGATCTGTGGACTCGCTTTCTCAGAAATTGTCAATCTCCTATACTGCGCAAGAGTTCTGGTTAGTCACGAGTTAGCTACTTATTGGCGCGAGTGCTTTTTATTTCTATTTACCTGGACCTGCAACGTTTGGAGCTCGTATTCGTTGATTTAAATAATTTATCATATTCATGGGTTCGGATGCTGCCAATGATGGTAATCCGAATGTGAATGACGATGTCGAAGTTCTGTAATTGTTGCGAAAGATGATGGATGAACCAGAAAAGATGCGGTTTGTTTTGAATCACTAGAGCGTGGTACATATCCAAAGTATTCGAACCGAAGGTTGGTAACGGTAGTTTCATAATCTTCTGTAATCTAATTTAAGAGTTATACATGATGCGCCAATAAAATTGTTACAATTATTCGAATGTATGGAATTTTCATATAATTTGGTTCAAATCGATCGGTAAAACACGAGATGTGCATCCTTTTCGTGCTTCGATTGCAGGTAATTCATATTTTAAAAATAACATGTACATCACCCATCAATCAGTTGTTAACTTCAAGACTGCGAGAGATTTCTAGGAGCCAATTATTGATGGATAGTTGAAGTCCAGATGTTGAGAAGTCAATTATTGATGCTCTATACTATCTGAAGATATAGTCTAAGAAAGATGCTACATCCCCAGATTCCCAGGTCAAATTGAATCAATCACTTCTGATACATTCAGCATGATTGTATGGAACTAATTACTGATGAATTTGTTGAGAATGTAATGAAAAATCCTATCTCTAGAAAATATGGATAATTGTATAATGGATATTGTTTGCGAAGTGTATCGTGTGCTGAACACAACAAATGTATTGACATCCAGACTTCCCGTTCAACTTCTTTATGTGCTTTGTTCTTCATTGTACATGACTCAAAAGAATCACTTATAGTATGTGTGAGAACAAGGCCATAATATAGGGTACAGAGTACAGGTTTACACATAGGAGCTCAGTGAAATTTATACTCACATTGTGTAGTTTATAGTAGAGACCGCAAGCATTGCAAACAGGCTCGCCGTTTTGGTTGCGCCTCCAGAGGGTAGTCGTGGTAGTCTTGCAGTTGGCACAACTTGTACCCGCTCGACGAGCTGCACTTTGTAAACTCTGAAAAATAAAAAACACTGTGAGTATCATACAAGACAAGAAATAATCGTATTAGTCGAAATTATTTTCAAGAAATGCACGGCCAAAGAAGTAAGGGTCAATAACTTTTGTCTCACCAGTCGACACATTTACGTCTAGAGAGCGGGCTAAAAGTTGCGCTTGCGTGTTATTAGTAAATAGAACAACAATTAAACAAAGGGTAAGGTTGTGTTTACTTGGTAATATTCAGAATATTAACAAATGAAGACTATATAGTACACAATCTTTATTACGAGCAAATTCTCAAACGTTATCGGTTACAAGCCATCAGCAGGATTAATTTCTGAAAAGTGAAGATTAGAAAATCTGAATTGAAGTTATGTGATGGGTTAGTAAATTTGATAAATATTAATAAAGTTCTACTAACTTGTCAGAAAGTTTTTACAAAAGATTAAAGCACAAAAAGAACATTCTTATGTGCTCAACACTAGAAAATTCAAGTTTTTCGAAAAAACTAAATGTATTGTTTAAAATTGGATAAAATAAAATAAAGAACAGCTACATGTGCTCTCACATTTTTGGCGGGACGACTTAATGAAAGGGGTTAAAGTTAAAATATGCATATTACATCTTGAAAAATGATGTCATATGCATATTTTAACTTACACCTCATTCATTCAGTCGTCTCGCCGAAAATGTAAGGGTACATGATTGTAGAATTGCTTTTCTTCATTTCATTTTATTTAATTTTGAGCACATAAGAATGTTTTTTTTGTGCTTTGATCTTTTGTAAAAACTTTCTGACAAGTGAGTAGAGTTTATTACATAACTCCAATTCAGATTTTCTAATCTTCACTCACTTCCAGAAATGATTCCTGATGATGGCTTGTAGCCAAAAACGTTTAAGAATTTGCTCGTAATAAAGACTGAGTAATATAGCCTTCGTTTTTTAATATTCTGAAATAGAACAACGTACGAGCTTATGTGCCGAAGGTCACAGGTTCGAAACCTGCTACACCAAATTATTTTTTCATTTCTCGAAGTGTCTAGAAGTGAAGTTACGTACTCGTCAGTTTGACCATCAGGAAAATTTTCATAAAATATTAATGTTACAAGTAAATAAAACATTCCTTGATTTGCTTTGCTGAGTTGATGTTGAAGTGAATGATATTTGTTAGAAACAACAAAGTTGCTGAAGTGACGTGTTATAGGCTATATTCCGAATTGACAACTCGCTTGACAGACCTGATATGACACATCTGACACATCTGGCCTGACAACCATGCACATGAAACTATGGAAATTGCTCTCAGCAAATCAGGAAATTATACACTTTCATGCTATATGGATTAAGATCTTTGGGATGACCAATCACCCCAACCCCTCACTAGGAAAACAATAGCACAAATCCCAGAATGCAATAGACATTCGCATGCTCATATTCACAGGGCACTGTTGTCTTAAACCATCAGTTTTCATGACAAGATATCACTTAGCTGTGGATTTAACCCTTGCACAAAAAACATTGAGCTTAACTAGGCTCCAGACTGGTTATATCAAACTAGAGACCAATATAAGACTGCAAACGAAGATTACATCATTCATAATTCATTAGAAGAAGTGCTGAATATACTGAATCAAAAACTAGACATCAAGATACTTCCCACAACAACTTATTCTCAACTCTAAGAGAGTTCCATTATAGGAGAGATGAAGTCTTCGAAAACACAAAAAATATGTTGGCTTCTCAAACACTTGTGTGACACTCAAGATCTGAGAGAAATACAAACTCCACAACAAAGTCACTGATCGCTATCAAAACAAGCGAGCAGCAGAAAATGGAAGATTTCGAACTGAGTGTACTGTATACTCCACTACTTGTGTCACCAACGTAAACCTATTGTCAGATTTAATTGGATTGTGATCTTGAAGTGATAAGGAGTCCTCCAACCATATGGTTTATAGTCGTATGTCCTTCGCTGAGGTTCGTGAGGGTTTAGTTAACAAGGAGGAAGATAACGCAAGCGAATTTGGCCCTACAATAAGGATTATTCGATAATGTCCTCCGACTGTGATTGATTATGGAATAAGTAGATTTGAGAGTCGAAAGGAAAGGAATGAGGTTCTGGCGGAAACCGTCTTGCTCCGTTTCAGAAACGATTACGAAGATCAAACTCATTACCACCAGCTTCTGAATATGCTATGATGATAATATACCATTATATGACGACTGCTGAGATGAAAGAGGAGTCCGCAGGTTACTTTCAAGTAAAACATCACATTCAGAATGAGGAAAAAAAGGGAAATTGTAATATGTGCTGCAAGGCATGCGCTCTTAGATGTTGCAAGTGATTTTATTATCCATTCTGTGGATATTATTATGTAGGCAAATATTGCTTATCTTGATTATGTATCTATGGAGTGACTTATAACTGAATTAGATGCATGGGGAAGTAATAAGCCTTTTCCGATATTGTTGAGCTATTTACAGGTTTAATAGAACGAGACAACTTTTCATTATATTATTGTCACAAGAGGTATAGAATATTAATTGTTATGGATATATCTAAACTAGCCGGCAGGCAAAAAAAAGCTGTTGAGATACCATCGGTAGATTCAAAGACATGCTCAATTATCTGTTTCATTGAGAGATAACTAATTTTCTGAAATGAATGAAGAGAGACAACATTGAGCACCGTTTCTGTTAAAAAAGATAGTTCAAGAATCTTGAATCGAAAGAATGTCATAGAAATTGGTTAAGAGACAGTACTTCACCGCGGTCCAATGGCTGCGCTAAAAATCGAAGAGGAGCCGGTTTCTATAAGGATTAATCACTTGCCGCTCATCTAAAATGGAAAAAGTGCACTAAGCAAGGATGAAAACGCCATTCAATTGTGTCAAAAAGCTTTTACTGCGACAAAGGACTTTTTTGTCCAACGTCAGTCGAGGTAAACGTGTGTCCATTCACCATAATCATTCTAGTTAAGTGGTTTATTGTCGTAGTGGATGCTTTCGTCTACCTGATTTCTTTCTCCTCTCTCTTTTTGACATCTCTCTCTAGCGGCCACTTCTTCGTTGCTATCATTGTGTGTGTCATGTTTCAAGTATCAATCAGACTTAATGTCAAATTTGTTTTTATTCGATTACTCGGCCCAAATAACGCATCCTCGTCTTAGCGCGGAATGTATACTTCTCTTCACTTGACAGATTTCACAAGATTACTTACGAGATGAAACACATCAAGGAACAAAGTGTCAGATATCACGGGATATTTTTTTTAATGTTAAACACTAGTCTTACTAGGTGGTATGGATGTTAAAGGTCGGCACACTCTTTGGGTACATGGGAACAATATTAGCTTATTTGAATGAATCGATCAATCATTCTCGAGTCACTTCAATCCATAGTGATACTGCAGTTGAGTCATATATAGATATAGTCATATAAATATATACATATATAGATTCTTGAATATTTGTGGCGAATATGTTTCCATAATTGTGTTATTATATCAATCGATAGAGTGGTCAGTGTTCTCATTTATCATAATTCATGCCACTATTGGTAACTGGTATCCTCGTTAGCTACCAGCCTACAACATAATTGGTTAACGACTACATGTCAAACATTTCCCACTTCACGAGTAATTTATAGTGAGGAATCAAAAACATGTAATAACAGTTTGCGTTCATAACATAAACGTTGGAATATATCAATACCAACTGCTACCTGAGCATATTATTACTCATTTCATGTCTATTCATCATTTTTTTCATTTAGTTAGCCAGAGAAAAAAGCCAAAAGTTGCCGTTGGTACTACTCGAAGAAGTAATAAATAAGGACAGCGCAAATGCATTGCCAAGTGGAATGAAACGTTTAAATCAATTTCAATATGGTTAATGTTGCTGTCGAAACAAGATGTAGTTTATTCGTTGGCGTTTCTGTGGAGAAGGTTTATTAGACAGGATTGCTTATTGAAAAAATGTTGGGAAAACAAAGAGAAAATTTCAACTGAAATTAGTCTGAGGAAAGTAGTTGAATATACATATCCAAACTAGTTCAAGTGTCATAGAACTCACAAAGTAAACCAGTGAATTTCATGGACCAAAAAATTCTCATTGAAGAATACGAAATTTAAAGTCATCCTACTAAATGAAAAGAATGTAGGTATATGTTAAACCATTGAGAGCATTGAAATGATGCAAAACACTTCTTCATGAGGATAATTATAAGCACATTATAGAATGGATCATACAAAAATGGAAATAACTTAATCACGTATTTTAGATCATCACAATAATAATTCTATGAAAACCAATGGAAATATCGATGGAGAATATAACAGTTCTGGTAAGTTACACGTAATTCTTCCTGATTTGAGACATTTCGAGTGTTCTTAACTGAAACACCTGTTCCATTGTAATTAGTCCTAAATCATGGATTATTAACATTTCACTATCTCAAGACTACCGAGAATCAAGATATTGTCTTGGTACCGGACCAACTTAAATGAATAATGACTTGAATTTATTTCAATAATTTAGAGGTCGAACATTTCCGATGATATCACATTGTTACATAGCGAATAAGATCAGTAAAGTGATCGGTTCATAGGCTGAAAGGGGTTAAATAATTAATAAAGTGATGCCAGGGCAAATGTATGCAGTAATTATTATGATGAAATATACAAAGCCATAATCCGCAAAAATAACGAAAACTGGTTGTGGTATGAAACTAAAAAAAATCAGAATTTTCATTGATAAATCGTCGACAATAAATTGTTTTACCTAACCATATCAGCATCTCGAGCGATGTCCCGAACTGTTTATCTGAACCTTTCAGCGACTGCAGCATAAAATATTTTATTGATGTCTCCCATGCTCAGCCCCAAAGATGAATAAAAGAATAGCGTATACATTGAATTTTGTTGGATTCGCGGAATCGAGCCAGCGTGTAGAGAGGAGACAATCGAAACGCGAATCCAAAAAAGGCAGCGACTATCGACGTGATCTACACTGATG